TTCAACATTTCCAACAAATTTTAAATCGCTTAAAACGAATATTAATGAATTAAAATACTGAATCAAACGTATAAAAAAAAATACGCCTAGCCGAGCCGAGCCGTAAAGCCATTTGGCTCTGCTCGGCTCGACTCACGGCTTGTGAACAGTACCCATAACTCCCTCTTTTTTATTTAGTTAGATAATACGAATTTTCCCTTTCATCCAAAAATGAACCTATAATATTAAAGCAATATTTCTTCTTTATCTCATTTTCTTTTCTCTTTTTAATTTAAATGAGCATTTTATTAGGACTTGTCTGAATTAGATTTTTAGGGGAGAAAAATCAATTTTTGAACCGTTACAAGCCAAAACTTGCCATCTTTGTTGACTTTTGCTCTCACATTGTGTCCCACCTAATATTTAAACGGTCACAAAAGTCGTTAATCTCATTTAGAGTTTCAATAGTTGTGTGCTTGTACTTCATTTCCATATTTACCCAATCTCCAACCGCTAACAGAAAGAACCAAACAAGAAGAAACGAGAAGCAGAAATTGGAAGTGGAGAGGGGGTGAGGTTAAGAGCCAAAGTAGATAATCTATGGAGTGCAATTGTCTAATCCTATATAGTAGAACTAGTCAACTACCACAACCAATCCTTGCATTGCCGTTTCTCAAAATGTAAGGAAACAAAAGTTGTACTGTACAATCTAAAGAAATAGCAGTTTTCAAAACACAAACTTTAACCACGGTTTGAATTAACAAGCTGTGTAATTACCACATTGAGTCTCAAAATGTTGCCAACAGCACTCAAAAAGCATGTCCAGTGCTATATTGAACGATCTTGGCCCTACAAAATAACCTTTTCCACTGCAAAACACAGTCACTGTCACATTGTCGACAAAATGGAGAATGTGGTTGTCTATACCATTACCGATATCACTATCTACAATATCAGTTTAGTTGGCACAAAGAAATTTGCATCTGACATTGTCATTGTTACCCCTGCAGAACTTTGCATGTTTTTCACAAAAAAGGGGAATTGAACTCTAATTGACAATGGTGATGCAAAGAGGAATTTGTTGGTGAACAGACAGCAGCCACTTCACATCATCATTGCTCGTAATCTTTACCGGTGCAACAGGCACATGTGTCATGCCAGGGACAACAAATCTCATCTCCATATTGTGTAAGGCGGAATCGACCATAAGGAGTTCCCGCACCCTATCATACAACTCTATGTATGAAATATTTCTTGAAACAACAAGAGATTTCGTTTCTTTTCCACTCCAAGTCCATCTGTCTTGATCATTCTTCTTAAATTCACCAAAATAGGAAATAACTAATCGTAACTCGGAACTCATACCTGGAATTTATTGAAAATTGTCAAAAGTTTTAGCACAAGACACAATCCACATATTTTTGTCAAGAATTAATCAAATGCACCCATACTCCTACTTGTTAAGCGTTGATTACAGAAAAGAAATATCGATACCCCCCTCTGTTCGGAGGGATTCACTTGAAGAAATTGATTCTTATTTGGAGAAGGCAAAACAAGGAATGACTACATCATTGAAACATGAGAGTTGACTAGGAAAAAAGGTGACAAAAATACTAGATGATCTTGTGATGTGTCTGGTGAAAAAGTAGAGTCAGCTGAGATATGGAGGAATGAAAAGGGCCTCTGGTAGTAAATGAAGATGGTTTTACACAATATTAAAGTCAAAGATGGCCTTTTCTAATAAGAAAAAGGAAGGTATTTCTTCACTTCCTAGTACAGAAAACCTTCTACAAAAATCCCTCTTATGACAACAGTAAAATCTATTCGATCAAGCACAGTTCGAGCTCACGAGACAGTTAAAAGCAAACCAGTAAGAGGTAGCATATATACCATATGTAGTAGCATCAATTTGTTCTGGAATCTCCTTTATATCCACTTCAAACCTTTGCTGAACCTAATCACACAAGACAAGTACATGATTAGTAGCAAATAGAAATCACTCATTATTCAACACAATTTTCCAATTCATCACTGTGTTAAAAACATTGTTAGTCAACTCAACTTAAAAGGAAAAAGTTTTAAGTGAGCCACCAAAAATTTATCTTGTTTCAAAATATTCACCGAAATTTGCTTTTCATTTCAGTTCAATCACTAGTAAGAATCCTGAATCCACTAGTTTTTCCAATGGAATGTCCGACGTGTAAGACCTCCATTCGATGTTGGATGTTCCATTAGAAACCTCCGTTCGATGTTGGATGTTCCATTAGAAAAATTAACAACATTTAAATGATTGATCAGACTGATAAAAAAGAAAAAAGGACAAAGAGAGTTCTAAAAACCATTTATTACCTGATTAAGAACGCGAGAATCGGAAGCAGAAGACACAAACGTAATGCCAAGTCCTTTCGAGCCAAATCGACCAGCTCGACCTACCTGTCAGAGAACAGAAGTCCAAAGGAAATATGGGTCAGCTATAACATCACTGTCATAGATCTTCTATATATTCAGCTAATATTAGTGGAAATACCCTGTGCAAGTAAGTGTCTGCAGAATCTGGCATATCATAGTTAACAACAACATTGACACGCTCCATGTCAATTCCCCTTCCAAACAAATCAGTTGCGACAAGAATTCTTTTGAGACCCTCTTTGAAAATTTTGTAACGGTTCAACCTGTAGTTAGCCATGAAAAATAATTAGATAACGTTCTTATACGCAATACAAATATTGCAAAGATGAGGCAACCTGTAAAAAAAAAAGATAAAACCATAGGACAGGTGAAAATTAAACTCGTGGACAACAAAAACAGGCAAAAGCTTGAAGGAGAAGATCAAAGGAGAGCATGTGAAACAAATATGCACAAACCACAGTAGTGAAAGCTAAACTGTGTTTGGTCAGTCATTTAAACTTATCTCATGCCTTCAGCCATAAAAATCCTACTAGAACTCTTGCGATGATTAATTAAACAGCGAACAACAGTTAATGGCATAATTCATGCCTCACGGACATTTACGAAAAATGTCAAATTTTACCAAAAACTGCGATACTACTTAGTACCCTACTATAAAAGGAGGCTCTGAAGGAGGAAAGGAAACAGGGGAAAGATTGTAGCACGCATGTTTGGTATGTGTTCATAAACAGTTTAAATTATAAATAGATAGAAATGAACGGTGGATATGTGGGAAATACTTGTGAGTCTCTCGAAATGTGTGGATAAATAGTGGCTTGAATGCATATAAACTGTTTATAAACATGAGCCAAACATAGGCAATATATGAAATGTTTGGATAAATGTGGCAATATACAAAGCACTAAAATCTTTCATGGTAACAAGAAACACGAACCTCCTAAACCAAACAAACCTGACCCCCAAAAGCACATAAGAAGTGAATGACATTTGCAATTAAAACCAAGTCTATCCGTGCATCATTTTTTCTAAAAGGGATAGCAGCCATACTATCAATATAATTTTTATCTACATAGAGTTAGAGAACTCGAGTAACAAAGACATGCCTTTCCTTCTGAGGCATTCCAGAATGAATGCAGATTGAAGGAAAGTTGCAATCAACCAGCAACCTATTCAGCTCAGCTGCTCTTTTTATGCTTTCGACAAAAATGACAACTTGGTTGAAATCCAAGGCATCAAGAAGGTCATTCAACTTTCGGTTCTTCTCTACCTCAGTTAATTTGATGTAATACTGATAGAAGGAAGTAAAATAAGAATATGGAGACTGGGGAAGAAAGGTTAAGCCTTAACCAGATGAATTCAAAATACCTGTACAAGCCCATGGAGAGTCAACTTGGCTTCATTATCTACATAAATTTCCACAGGCTACAAGGAGCAAGGTGCATACACGTTATTTACAATTGATCATTCTAACGCCTAAGTATACATATCACAGTCAGTTGCAAGTCATAAATACCATATGCAAAGTATTATCTGTTCAAATAAATAGAACTTCTTAATTCATCCATATGTAGCAATAAACTCTCCATTCCAAAATGAATATTTTGATTTTGAACAATCATCATCATCACCATCATCATCAAGTAAAGGGTTGAAAAGTTATGTAATTTGGGAAGTCATCCAACTCTATCAATTGATGCGTGAAACAGAGAGAGATAAAATATGTTTGAATGTGAAAAAGAAAGAAAGTCAGTCTTTACTAAGGGTAATTGTGGCATGGAGTGATAAGTGCATTCATATATTGAATGGGGTGAAATACGGAAAGTGGGTGGTGTTGCAGAAAGGGTCATTTGGAAGCAAAATGGAAGGGAAGACATTAATTTAGAACAAAGGAAATGAAGATGTTTATGGATTATTAAAGACTACTAAATTGTATTTATACTCGATAAGTATAACAAAATAATTTAACCTAATTAGATAGTGACCTTAATTGGATCAATCAGCCAAGATTTAAATCCAAGTCCTTTTATCTTCAGATTTTCATACTAGCTTTGGATTCAGGGCAATCTCAGACCAGTAACAAAAGTAGATCCCAATATCGATTACAAAATAGCTCAAACATGCGATTGGAGAGAAACTAGCATTTCTAAATTTTACTTGATCTTCTTCTTGGGAAATGGTAGCGAAATGCTTTCAAAAATCATGCACAGGGGAGAAGCACCAGATTCCAGTTAGCATGAATACAGAAGCTTCTAAACTTCGTCTAAAGATTAATTTGATCATAATGTCCACCATAACACTCGAAACATGATATAAATACTGTGTATGTCATCATGTGCAATCAGAGATAATGGAAACAAATAAATTGTACACCATTTGATGCAGAAAGTCGAAGTGTTAGTAAACCATGGTGAGAAACCTGTGTAATGCGTGCATCACGAAGTATCAAGCACATCATCTCATGACAAAATCAGCATATGATGATAATCAGGATATAGTGTACGCTCGTACCCTTGGATGGTGAAGTGTCCAACAAAAATTAGGTCCATAGTCAGTCTATGGCTTACACTACGTAATGTCATCTGACATATTTTTATTAGTTCCAGGGAAAATTATACAGATTAGGGTTTTCGAACATCTACTCAGTGTCCAGCACAGAAAACCCAATGGACTTCATCAATCAATGCTTGCATGTGTACACTATGCAAGAATCACACAGAAAAGCAGAATGCAGGGAAGAAATTTTAAATCTTGATCACCCCCCCACCCCACCCCCCAAATAATACCAACAAATAAGGTGTGCACGCGCACACAAACAAACACAGTTAATAGAGCCAAATCATTTGTTGGGGATGGAGAATAAGAAACTCAGATTAAAGACCCTTGAATCACAGGGATTCAAGACAGGCCAAGAAAACTCTCATGTCTGACATCAAGAGAACAAGAAACTCCAATTACAGATATATTGATGATAAAAAATTACATCTTGCATAAACTTCTTGCAAACTGGTCGCATCTCCTTACTGAGAGTAGCCGAGAACATCATAACTTGCTTATCATGAGGGGTCCTCTTGAAAATTTGTTGAACATCTTTCCTCATATCTGTAGTGGATAAATAGAAGTGACTAACGTCGACTGTATTTTGAACAAAAATAGCAAAATATAAAATCATACCACCTGCCCAAAGCATCTTGTCACACTCATCAAGAATAAAATGCCTCACATTCTTCAAACCGAGATCCTCATCCCTGACAAGAGCCAATATTCTTCCAGGAGTTCCCACAGCAATATGAGGGCATTCTTTCTTCAACAAATCTCTGTGGATCTTAATGTTCACACCGCCGTGGAATACAGCAACTTTAACTTCAGGTAAATGAGTAATGAACCTCTCAAATTCATGGCAGATCTAAAAAATCAGAATCAAATTATTCCTATGCCAGAAGAAAATCGAATCAACACGGAAGAAAAATGGATTAGCAGGACATACTTGGTAAGTTAGTTCTCTTGTGTGGCAAAGGACAAGTACAGCAATTTGACCAGAAACGGGCTCAATCTGATGCAGGGTAGATAGAACAAACACTGCTGTCTTACCCATCCCAGACTTAGCTTGACATATGACATCCATTCCTAACATAGCTTGAGGTATACACTCTTGTTGTACTAATGAGAATCAATATCCAAGTGACAAATCCTCAGTCAGTACCAATGATCTTCAAGATCCTTTCAAATGAAAAGATTACCAGACCAAATTTTGGATTGAAATGATTATAGAGGGATTAGTTGTTACCTGACATGAAGGAAGAATACTAACATATATCAATAGAATAGACAATAATTGCCATCAATCAGAAATGAAAATTAACAGGAGATGAGCAAAAGCTGAACACAGCCAAAGTTTCTGAAGTTCACAGGTTGCGGACATTTCTTATTTTACACAAAAAGATGGCATACCATGTACTACATCAGGATCAAATATAGAATGTTTTAAAAGTTGGCAGCTACTGCAAGGATAAGTTCAACTTTGAGATTCCATTGAACCCAGCACCCATCCATAAAACACTTTCCGGAGTCATATACATCTATCTTTTTAGCTTGTAATTTAAAACTAAATCCAACTAATAGCTTTTGATGTGAAGTTTATGATTAGAGAGATTCTTCTAATTAAATTAGTAACAAATATGCAATTTATCATTAGTTTAATTCTACATTTAAATTTTGAAAGAGCCAAACAATTCCCTACCACGTATTCTCCGTAAATAGTAGCACAGGTCTTAAAATTGCTCATCAACTAGGAGCTGAATACAAAACTCTATGAATTAACCAAAAGATAAATATCTTCTTATGACAATTTAAGAGAGGGATTGCATCTCTTGCCATAAATCTACCTTAATACCAAAAGACAAAATTGACATTCGATAAACAAGCAAAAATGTTCTCTTTTACATCAATTGCAACCTGAATGCTTATACACATTTAGCAACCTGTGCTTCATTTTGTCACGTTGTCAAGGAAGAACAACCTCTTTATAGTTTATATTGATGGTAAATTGTACAGTTTTGAAAATCAAGATCAAACTATAGAAAATGTACATTACATATCACAACAGCCCATCAAGATTGTGATTTTCTGAATGATATCTGCAGGAAAACTGGGTTAACCACATTAAATCAAACCAACTGTGCTAGGAACGAAAGATATAGGTCCTGTGAAGGATAAATCCCACATCAAATAAAAATAAAAATATAAACCAACATATAAGAGCTCTGGCTACATCTCTTAACAAGTTTGATTTTTTAAGATGGAAACCCAAGTTTTATTAGGCACTATACACAAATTTAAAGTTTTACATAAACCATAAAATAAGAAATAAAAATTTTCGTGAATTCCAGGTGCAAATAATAATTTAGGGAAAGATTAGAAGAATGGCTTTGCCTTCAGATGGATGTTCAAAACCCAATTCCACAATGGCTTGAAGCAGCTCCGGCTTTAACAGGAAGTCTCTGAACCCCGAACTGTGAAGTCGAACGTAGCCCCTGCATTGTCAACCAGGTATAGGAATCGAGCTGTTCTAATTAGATCTGCCAATATAAGAAACATGTATAACACACGAAACACAACATAAGGTAAACTAAGGCAACAGAATTAATTTTATATCCCTTTATACAAACACTTATTTATCTGTTACATACACTAACCTCGAAGACTCTCCATTCCACAACCTGAATCTGAAAACCTAATGCTAGCAACTTCTTCTAGTTCCTACTTTTAGCAGGTGTCACTGGCCATGTAGTCAGAACAATTGGCAAAAACTAATTACGTACAGCATAAGAACAACAGGACACTAAGCCTCAGTTGTTGCTCCACATGCAACTAAGGTTTTTTTTTTTTTTTTTACAGTTAACAACTTCAAATTGTTACTACCGTGATCATAATGCAAGAATAACAGATACTGATAACTGATAAGACTGGATAACATTAATTGTTTCCTTTTGTGAAGCCTCAAAAGACTTCTTGTCACCGAGACATTAGAATTCAACTTTTCATATGGAAAATAGCAATACTGCTCTCCAACGGCCCAACATATTGCCCCATTATCAAATTGGTTCCCAACCACAAGAATTGAGAAAGTTAGTAACAACAATCCTCAATGATAGAAACTGTCCAAAATTTATAAATATTTACTAGACACTCACGTGTCCAACTTTATGTAATTAGGTTTTGTTTCCCGACTAGGACATAAATCTGAAGAAAGGCATATTTTTCATGAGAGCCACATGAAGAGCAAGAAACACAGTTAAAATTTGGGGACTAACTGGTTCCTTTTTAAAGGTCGGGTACCAACTTAATACTGAGACAATAAATGGGGGACCATTAATGCAATTTTCGCACTTCTCATAGTTGTCAACTTAGCTCCATGTTGCCGAGTTCCAATCTTTTTTCCTTTTCTGAGTTTTCTCACTGGAAATTAACATACGTGTATATACACCAACAAACACAATAAACAAATATCCTCAATCTTCCCTCCCTAAAAAATAGAATATGAAGATTTTGATTCTATGAGAGTGCAAGTGTCTAAACCAACTGAAGGAAATAAAGACAATAAAAAATTTTCGGGTTTGAACAAGGACAAATACTCATTGGGCTCGGAACCAGATTTAAATTTTACCACCAACGTAATATAAGTGAATACATAAGAACGAAAGAACTTCAGAAATCACCACGCGTTGAACCAAAACGACTATACTGAATCAAGCAAGTAAAAGTTGAGCAAAACTCAGTAAAGAAAAAACACTTCTTCACCGAGTACCCGGTGGCTCTGCCATTACTGGAGTTGGGGTCTTGCTCGTCTTCTTCCTCGTAGTCGAGAAGCTCTTCCTCGTATGCTTCATTGTCCCTTAATGCACTCATGATCCTGTTAAGCAAGTATAAACTTTAATTTTCAGTTCAAAGAGTGATTAAGTTCAAATTTCTTTACAAAATTATGCAAATAAATGAAGCACATCATTGATCATTGTACGTTTTGATGCATACCTTAAGCTAACTCTGCTAGCTTGCGAAATAAAATGAAAAATGATTAAATGTAAGAACAGAGAGTTAAACCCTTGGAACTAGGGTTTTGGGCTGTAGAGACTAGAGAGGGAAGTGTGAATTTTTGCGTGCAGAGTAGTATAGGGTGAGGGCAGAGAAATATCAAATATCTAGTGGAGTTCATGAATGTTGAAGTTGAAAAGCCTTGAACCCAATTTTCAAAAAAAAAAAATTTGCTTTTTCAGTCGTTGTTTTAAAGAAAATAAAAACATACTCCCAAAGAACATATTTTTCTTAAAAAAAGGAAAATTGAACATATTTTTAAAAGTTAAAAAATATTTTCTGTGAAAAAAATAACAATCAAACACTTCAAAGTATGAATTTAGATGAAAAACTGACATTTTTCATGAAAAATAAATGAAATCAAACACTCCCTTATTTAAAATTACATATGTTTTTTAAAAAAATAATTTTATTCTTACTTCGAATCATACGTTACAAAGCCCATATTTGACTCCGATTGAAATAAAATTATTTGTTTCTCATACTTATTTTCAAGCACACAATCACAAAATAAGATATTCTACACGGAAACCCAAATTTTTTTCATATTTTTTAATAATAAATTCTCCAAAAATCACAGTTCAAAACATCATTTTTTTTTTCTCTCAATTTCTCTTCATCTCAAACAGGGTCAAAATCCATTCTCAAATAATGTGACTCAAACGAGTTGCCTCTTATTATTTTGCCCCAATAAAAATTCAAATTCAAATTTTAATCTAAATCAAAGTTAACAATTAATTTTAACCACATATTTTATGAAATCAACAACTTTTCAACAATGTATTTTTATCAAAATCTACTAAAATCTTATTTTAATCCCCACCAAACAGGAGTGTACGTAGCCACAAAATGCAACTTTTACCTAATAGAGACCTTTTTTCAATAATTTAAATTTTAGTTTTTAATATATGTATTATGATATATTTTAATTTTTCTATATAACTCAACCCCGTCATCCCCATCTTTGAATGACAGTAAGATTTGAACTCATAACTTTTGTCTACCCTATGATACTTAGCCATGCTATCTAAAACTCTAAACTAAAAATTTAAATTAATAATTAGATGAGATATATATTTTTGTTGATATATTCAATAAATCTGTGGTGTTAAAAATGTTCTTTACTTATAATTAAAGTTATGTACGCGTGAATAAGAAAGATGAAAATAAATATTCTAGTGATCAAAGTTGAAAATAAGATACTTATTTGAATAAACCTTACTAATTTTTAATTAGAAGTAATTAAGAAAAATTAGCATATTTAAACATGTTTAAAAAATAGAAATTTACCTAAAAACTAAGCCCCTCTTGGAAGGGATCAAAATCATAATTTTAGTAAATTTTAATAAAAATTGATTAAATGTGTGGTTGAAAAATTTGTGAATCTTATAAAATATGTCATTAAAATCATGATCTAATCAACAATACCTTTTGATCAAGCAAAAGTAGCAAAATTTTACCTTTTTTTTCTTAATTATTCTTCAAGTTATTATCCTAGAAGTTCATATATACTTAATCTGGAATTGGAAAAAGGTATTCGGAATCTTATATGTTTCTGTAGACAAACCTTTGAATTCCCAAATCCTTCATGGCTGATGTAATCGATTTCGCAGAAACATTCTCATCATTGAGTTCTTTCAGTTTTTCCTCAATTACTTGTTTCTCAGCATTTATGTCCAGTCCAGATGTTCCATTGAGAGTGTCACCCAGGTTGAAGGGTTTCTCAAGTATGACTCCCTCCTTTTCACCACACACATAAGCTGAAAAAAAAAAAAAAAAACTCTAAATTTAGTGGTGGCAATATACAACAATAACAACAATCAATAATTTTTGAGTCGGCTATGTGAAATCATTGTTTAGAGAACTCCATTCAACTTATTGCTAGATTTACTCCGATATTCAAAATAATTGAATAATTTGAAACAATACGTGATCATGTTAATTGTTTTTTTTATCACTAACTCTTCTAACGTGTATTATCTAGTGAGACTGTGTTACTCTTGTGATATGAATCCTAATCCCGTGGCAGTATGACGAGACTAGTTTATAATTATGTTATTTGAAGGACAATAAGTTGCTTGTATATTTTCTTCGTAAAAATTAATTTTGTTTTAAGTATTAGTCTTTGGTTATTGATGTTCTTATTTTCAAGCAAAAGTGGCTGCTCCTCAAATTTTACAAATATAGCACACGATCCTCAATCAAATTTAATTTTCTATTTAATTTGGGTCTCCAAATTTTCGATTTCATTTTAAAACACTTTCCTATTTAGCTCCTGTTTGGTAGAGATTATAATCAGATTTTTAGTAATTTTTGATAAAATTTGAAATGCATGTGTAACTGAAAAGATGAAGATCCAATGAAATATATGATTACATTTATTGTCGACTTTTAGATTTTAATCTATATCAAACATTGGCTTAATGAAAAAAATAATGGTTTCTATCCAGTGGGACGAATCTAGTGTTAAATTGAAGCTTTGGAGATTTGAATATTAAAAAAAATGTTGAATTGAGAGATCAATGTGCTTCTGCAAATCTTCACGTTTCATTCATGCTATTCTTGAACTTGGGATTGAAAGGTGAAGGATTCAACAAACCACTAAATGACTTAACTAAATTCCACTCAGTAGTGCATATGTAATGCTATTGAGTATTGAATGCATATATTGGCGTCCATTTTGTTTGAATGGATATTTGATAGACAGTGAGTTAAGTTTCACGTGCCTTTGTCCATGGAGGTTAGGTTGGGTTCCCTTCCAAAACACGTACTTCATATTATGTCCATGATAGCTCAGGGCTAACTCTTAAGCCCCTGTTTGATGGCCCTTATAAAGAAAAAACGGAGGAAAATGATGTTTTGAAGAATAATGTTATTTTTCATCATGATAATAAATTATCGGTTATGTGACAACCCATTATTCATCACATTTTTTTCTCTCTCTCCTCTCTATCTCTCATGTAAATTGAATTATCAAATCTTATTATTCTGTATAGATTGTCACATCACCGATTATTTATCATCATAATGATAAGTAATATTATTCTGTTTTGAATGTTGATTTTTTTTGGAGAATGTAAGGTTAGGAGGAAAAAGTTTTGAATTTACGTACAAAATATTTTAGTATGTGAATGTATGGTTAAAAATAAGTACGAGAAATAGAGAGTCATGAACTAAATTATAAGTTATTTTCAAACAATTATTATTATTATTATTATTATTATTATTATTATTATCTTTGTAATGGTTCGATTAAAACAAAAGGAGCCACACTAGTTTTTATTATCATTTGCTTATTCTTGGGCTCTTTTATTTCCTGACGTAACTTGGCAGGCTTTATTTTAGATAAGGTAAAGTTGTTAATTCACTCTTACAGTCGTTATACTATGCTTTTTTTTTGTTAATAACAAAAACATGAAATAATTATTGTCAAAACCTACACCGATCAAAGAGCAAGTTTAAAAGTTAAAATATATAAAATAAAATAATATACTAACCAGTTGATACGTGAAGAAGCACCTTCAATTTACCACATGTTTTAGCAAAGTTCAAAACATGCAAAGGTCCAAGAGTATTGATTCCCAGTGCAACATCATATCTGTTTTGAGTATGTTGAACGTAACATTAATTAAGTAGGTAGACAAGTCAAATAATCATTTAAGAGCGATTAAATTAAAATTAGATTTTTAGTAAATTTTAATAAAAGTTGATGAAATGTGTGGTTAAAATTAATTGTTGACTTTAACATTGATTAAAATTTGAATTTGAATTTTCAACAAATAAGGACGAGATTTCGTGATTTGCACTATGAGAATTAATTTTTCGTACCTTTCATCAAAGTTAGTGGTTGCAGCTAGATTAATCACAACATCTACCTCAGTGGAAATTTCGAGTGACAGATTCAAGTCATTAATTCCCAATGTTTCACAAGTAATGTCGCCGGGTACAATGGTAATCTTTTCTGATATAAAAGATGTCAAATTTGCTCCACGTTCTTCTTTCAGAACCCCAAACAAATCCTTTGAAATGACCTGCGAAATGAAAGCAACAATAAATGTAGATCAATCATAGTAGTAGGTTGAGAAAGACCAACAAAAAATATATATTACGTGGCTGTACAATTAGTGGCACCCCCTTACAAGTGGGGATATGAGTATCAATTTGGCTCGTTGACTTGAACGGTTCGTGATTCGGTCCGAGAAAACTCCGAGCCTGTTCAATGGCTCATCAAGCCACACGAGCTATTTTTAGCTCATGACGAATCGAACCTTAGAAAAATTAAATTAAATAAATTGCAGGCATCACTATTTAAAAAAAAAAAAGGAAATTAGATTAAATTAAAAAGCTAGCATGATAGCATCACATAGCAGCTACACACTGCCTACTATTTAAAAAATTAATAAATAAATAAAGTAAAAAATTTGTGAGCTGGTTCGATCAGTGTTGAAAGTTCGAGTTGAGCTTAAATTTTTTGGCCGAACCTTGACTCGGGCTAAAAAAAGTTCGAACCATTTTTACTCGAATCAAGCTTGAGCCTCAAGTTTTGACTCACGAGCCTACTCGTTGACATCCCTAGGTGGGGACTTGTTATATTATCGGCTTTTGCTGGTTGCCATGTACAACCAGGGGAGCCACTTGGTGCCCTATATAGGCCCCCCACCTATATTACGAGTTTTAGCAGCACAATAAAGTCATTTATTAACATTTTTTGAGCTAAAAATCGAAATTAATCAAGACATCTGATTAGAGGGTGTTCTAGGCTTATAGAATTACAAATTATAAGTCAATGAGTAAGTATTAAAATAAATTAATGTGATATGTTATTGATTTAAGTTAAAGATAAGCAAGTTAGTTAATTGATTGTAAGTACAACTCGTCCATCTAAACGTAAGGAAAAAGAAAAAAAGGTAGCATTCAAATATGTTTAGTAAGTGATAAAAAAAAGTTCATAAAATATAAGTTCCATGCAATTGACATGAAAAATTTATATATTAGTAATACACAAAACAATTAAAACTGAAAGCATATATCAAAAATAAAAAGTGAAAAAAAATAGCTTTTTAACTGTTGAAGTGGCCGAAAACAATAATGAGGATCAACTACTACAAAAATAAAAGGTTTACAACCTTCTTTGTAAATAAAGCATAGAGACATTTACCTGCTTTGTCTCGTACTCGTAAATAAAGCATTATAACCTTTTCTTTAAGCATACGCATGTCTTTTTGAGCATTCTTCTTTTTTTTTTTAAAACTATCTATTTGTTGTAAATGATAAATTATTGGTAAATGGTAATTGTATTCCTGCAATCCTATATATTATTTCAATCATGCTACATGAACATAATGGTTAACATAATAATTGACATAATACCACATAGTAACCTATCATTGGACTATTTAAAACACAATCAATTTTTTCTACTAATCACATCTTGTCAACATCTATTTTGTCAACCATTATGTCACATTTTTCACGCCAAGTAGCGTTATTCAATATTCTGCCAATCATGCTCCATGTACATGGGTTGGGTTCACAATTATTTTGAGAATGCTTTTAAAATAAGTTACATTAGATTAACTTCATATAAAAACTCTTTCAGGTAAAAGAAACATTTCATATAATATTCAAACAAATTCATAAAATAGTCAAAAGAGGCACTTTCAATCAAATTCATGCGTTCCTTATTTCATGCAATTTTTATAAGTAAATAAAATGGAAGTATTTCTTGGGTAAAATTGCAGCAAACATCCCAACCTTTTATTTTCTTGATTTTTTCCCCTTCTCCCAGGTCCTGGATAGGGTTTAACGTAAATGCAAGTGGCCCGGTCAAAAATCGGATTTGACCGGGTCAATTAGCAGGTTTTATATAATTATCGGGCCGGTAGGCCGGATTTATTTTTTAACCAAATTTCAAAAAAATTCTCCATTGAAATTCAATGGACGAAAGATTTGAAAACTTGACCACTAGCTAATTAAAATATAACCTTACCACCAAAGCAAGCAATTCTTTGTTGACTTTTTGTGTAATAAACTATATTTAGCATATGAAGAATTTGCCGTATATTGAATTTTTTTAAATAAAATTAGTCCAATGTTTTCATTCATTTTGTAATATCAAATAAATAATTATTTTATATAATTGTTTGTTTGAAATTTTCAATTTTAACTAAAACAAATTGAATAAATAATACACATAAATTATTGGTCAATAACTAAAAAATTTTGTACATCGCAAAAAGGGAAAATGTAATATACAAAATCATAAAATCAAAATGTAATCATTGTCACTAATAAATGAGTTCAAAAAATATTGATTAAACGTATAAAAATAATTTGTAACAAATAACTTGAAAAATTTAATTGTCTAAAGGAAAAAAAAATTATACTTTAAAATTTTTTAGATAATTTTTAATTAATGATCCACCGGTCCGACCATCGATTCACTGGTTCGACCAATAATCCGGTGACTCAGTACCTTCGTCGAAGCCCAAATCCACCTAGACTTTCATTGACAACAGGGGGGGCTAACTGTAGGAGATATTACACCGATAATGTGCATATTATATTCATCAAGAGCATGCCGTTAATATGCGTGAAATCGAAACATCATTTGACTTATCGAAATCTAATTTGAGAAGATAAAATAGCGATTTACCGACTTCGAATATAATAATATGAATTCTTCACTTCCCAATATGAGTGAACGCATGTTGTTCTTCAATTCAAA